TTGTTCTAGTGAAAAACCTGAAGACTTTTGCTTATAGATGAGGCTTAGACAGAATTATCAGCATAGGCTACTAATAGAATTAAATATAATTCTTGAATTGCATGTTTCCTAAATAGGTTTCAGTATGCTCTGTAAAATGTTTAAATGATATTTCTCATACATGAGGGTAGTATGAAAAAATTTAATTACTTGCTACATGATTCAGAGAATATAAGAAGTCATGGGGAAAAATGTTAATGTTCACTTTTATATCTTCAAATTCTAGGTTTCACTTCTTAAGCTGAAAAAATATATATTTGGGACTTATTCTTTATATTTAAAAAATGAGATCCATGAGTCAGGAGTTCCAGATGAGTTCCAGAGTTCCATGAGTTCCAGATTTTCCTTGCTTTCAAAATCTCTCTGTCCCAAAGAAGGGATTTTTATTTTGGTCACTTGTTTTCTTAACACAATGATTGCATGATAAAACAGGCAGTGAAATAAACACTACTGCAGTACTTTTTTCTTTCAGACAAGAATACAGGTTTTGCTTAAAATAATGAAAGAAGCACATTTGTATCTGAGGATGTGTATCACAGCATTTCCAAGAAGCAGTGTGCTAAAACGTACTTGTTTTTAATAAGTAAGCATAAGTGCACCTCAATTAAGGCTTTCTCTGATATCACAGCAGACTTGCTTGCATTTAAATTATGGGGTCAGCAAGAAAGGACAGTGGAACCTTTTATTAGCAGCTGACTTCTCCCAAGTCTCATTTTACGTTTTGGGTTCCAACGCTATTCAACTGAAAGGAGATCCTGTTAAAAAAATGGAGGTGAATAACAGAGACAACAGCAACAAGGCAGCTGCCAGACATCAGCTTCCACTATGTACTTCAAAAATATCAGTATCCTCACTGATATTACACAGAACCATAATGTGTCAAGTGTCCTTGTGAAACAGGCAGTCTTTTGTATTTTCTGGTAGAAAGGTTTTTCATGAGAGAAGTCTAGGATACAGAGTTGAGTATTTATTTTAAAGCTGTCTTATATAAAGAGGCTGCCCATCAAGCAAGAACCAAAAGTAAATACTCATTTAAATTATATTCCACCTGCTGAAATCATTATGGTGGTGCTATTTCCTAAGGAAGTCTGTACTATTTCCCTACAGTCACTGATGTACCAAAATATCTCAACTGTGAATTTTGTAACACTCTTTCTTATTTCAGTCAGGAATTTTTCCTATGTTGGACAGCCTCATTGCTCATCTTTTCTGATTATGTTCTTTGAAAAGCTGTAGAATGTCTTAATTTCACTTGAATTTTGGGGTTGAGGGTTAATTAGTGTACAAATGACAAAGACACCACGTGACCTCTCTACAGAATATATAGCCTCTTATCACATGGATCAGTAAGTACATCTGAGATGTTTTGGGCCATTTCTCCCTTGTCTTCTTGGCTGGAGCTCTTCTGAGCTCTTGCTGGACATACACAGATATTTTTGTTCTGGTAACATGAGAGAAGGTGGTTGATCATTAGTATATGATGAATTACAGAGCACATACAGACTAACAGGGCTACACTCACTCTAGAATACTAAATAATCAATGTGGTTGGTATCTTTTTAATGAGAAAGTAGAATAACAGAAAAGGTCTGTTGTTAAAGCTGTATTTTCTTTGAGATACAATACAAATGAGCTGCTTGAGAAGCAGATGACATACATAATTAATCCCCAGTGTAACTTTACTGGACTCCGTTGATTTGCATGAAATTAATTTTCTTAATTCTTTTGGGAAGAGAAAAAAACATAGCAGAAAATGTGTCCAGTTATTTTCTTATGTATGAAACTTTTATATCAGATTTAGTAGCTCAAGTGCTTTGGGAAGCTGGGAATGTTAAACGGAAATAGAAAGTAGAATTTAAAGTTATTATCATAGATTGCAAATATTTAATGACTATTTTTTCCAAGCTGTATTATTAACGACTTGTTTTATTCAGGTTGTGTAAACATAAGAAGGAAGCCCTTCCCTTCCTTCAGTATCCAAGAGCTTTTTGCTTAAAAATTTTAGCTTGAGAGACTTGTGTTCTTCCAGATGGGTATGATTTTTCTGTTTTCTTTTTCTCCTGCATTGAGTCAGAGGGTTAGTGAAACCAATTCATAAGGTATTTAACCCCTTGTTAGGAAAACTCAGAGAAATAGATGAGAACTGTACTGAGATCTTTCATTAAGCATGCTATGTAACAGAGGATTCAGTGACAGCGGACTGGTACAATTTAAAATATCCTTATTTTAAAAACTTCAATGAGATATTTAAAATTAAATACTCAGAGTTATTAGAAAAAATTTTATAAAGAGATACATTGCAATAATTTAAAACCCTTTTATCACAAGGCAAAGTGACTGCACATCTTGCAAGCATTAACAATTCAAACAAATACTACACTACAGAGTAGGACTTGCAAGACATCTAGCAGTGACATGCAGCATGAATTTTATATTTGCTGAGTACCACATCAATAACCCACTGGTTTCTGTAAGGAAGCTTTTCCAGATAGGTCTATGGCATTTTGGCAGGAGATGGATCCCTGTACTGAAATCAGTGAATTCAGTATTGCCCAAGTACTTACTTCATCCTGCTTGTGCCACAAGTATTCACATAATCTCAGTTTCTTGGTCACAAGAAACATTCAAATGTTGTATTATTTGTGTTGTGATATAAAGATGGGCCTCACTTCAGTGAAGTTGCCTTGAATTCCTAGTAGCTGAGATGTGAAAAATATAAGATATCCCAGCAGGGAAGACCATAAGAGGATCACAGCAGGAATGCAGCAGTACAGATAAGTTAGTTCAAGTAGTGTTTGGAACTTACACAATTTTGTTTCTGCTTCATCAGAAGACACAAACTACTATTGTAATGCAAGACTTAAAAAAAAGAACACAATTTAACTACCCAAGTGAGCTGTATCTCAAGTGAATTAGATGCTTTGCATTTCTACAATTTAGGTAACCTCAGGTACTCATGTATTATTTCAAAAATTAGTTAAGGACAAAGTTCACCTAAATATTTTTCCCTTATTTTTTATCATTGAATAATTAACTTAATCAGGAGAAACATTGTACTAGTTTACAAATGTAGTATTGCCTAAGATTGCCTAAGAAAACCACATACAGAGCACCATCTAGTGCAGGATATCACTAACATAAAAAGCATTTTGGCTCATATGCCACTTGCCTGTGTTCAGCTAATGTTCTAAATTCATTTAATATGAACTATCATGTTGCATAAAGTGCCAGACCAGGGGCTCCCATGGCAATATAATTTTGCAATTACATGATAGACCGTGGATTGAAAATTGTGACCTTTTGCAAGGACAACAAAACTGGATGCACTGAAATTCAGGTAATCATTTGTGAGAACCATTTACTTGTAAGAGGAATCTGTTTATCTTCTTGCCAGTAGTGTTGGGTGACATATTCATTAAATAATTCAATCCAGTCTGTTCGCACAACTGCCATTATAGGTGCCTTAAGAACGTCCTTTAGCTGCTTGGAGCCTTTGCTCAGGTTCTGCAGAACCTCAGAGCTACCCAGGTTCCTTAAGACAGACAGTCAAAGCTATGCAAAGTACAACCAACAGGTCTTTAACCTGACTGTCATTAAGGATTGCTGAGGAAGGACAGAAAAGTGAGCTACAAGATGGTTTGCTTGCGGTTTTTATGCAAAGGCCATATTTTGCTTCTTCTGCAAGCAAACAAACATGAATTTAGCCCCAAGGTTGTTTATTCACTGTTTGTGTATCAGCATTATGTTTCTGATGCAGTCTGTTTACCATTCCAGTGGGATTAAGAGGAACTGTCTTCTTAGTTAACTAAAGATGTACCAATGAGAAGCTGGATTGCATCCTGCACTAAAAAAAGATTAAGAGGGCCCTCAGGTGCTTGGAAAAGAAAAAAATTGATGAACACTGTGTATTCAACAACAACAACAACAAAAAACTTAATTAAGCATCAAAAAAGCCACTATCACTGTAAAGTTTTATACCTTCTTTGAAGAAGCACTTCAACAAAGATTTGAACCTTCCTCTGAGCATATGGATTTTAGCTAAATGTTTGAAGCCTTACCAAATTCCCAATTCTTAGACCTGCTCTGAAGAAACAGCAAGCATACTCACACACATTTTGAAGTACTTCCTGGTTTTGAAAGCTCCATTTTTGCTTTCCAAGTTGACCACTTCATAAATAATTTTTTAAAAAACCCTCAAACCTAACCCCCCCCCAAAAAAAAAAAAAAAAACAAAACAAAAACCAACCAAACAAAAACACGAATCACAAAAAAACAAACAAACAAACAAAACCCCATCCCCACAACCCAGAAATAAGTGCAAATGTTTCTAATTTTTCAATATTTAGATACAGAATACTTCCCTGGATACTTCTGCTCTTTCTACCTCTGTTACAACTGCCAAAGAGAACTTATTGCTGAAGGAAATTGAGAAAAAATTAGCTTGTTTTTTTTGAGAGAATAAGAAGTGAACTAAAGTAGCATGACAGGAATGTTCACAGACTGGGCAACCTGTGGTTCAAATCCCCTTTCTGGGTGTACCATTTCAAGAGCACGAAGAAGTAGCTCTGACAGAACAAAATGTTATACTTACAAAAGGCATTCAGATATTGGTATGAGGAGTAACAGTTTTGGGAATGGTGAGGAGAGGTAGACTGCAGAAAGACAATAGAGCTGAAGAGAAGAATCTCCAATGGAAAGCCATAGGCCAGACTGAGGTACCTCAACTCTATCAATGCATTCTACATATTCTAGGGAAAACAAATGCTGTAAGATAAAAGGCTCTGTTACTGCTCATTTAATTCATCTGGGATTGTGGTTTCCATTCTTTTACTCTCCAGTATGTTGAGCAAATGCAAGAACACAGACATAGAATTAAATTCAAGAGTGTTTCCCTTGAACAGATATTACAAAAATATATATTTTTGATTCCACATTACTGGTAGATATCATTATGTTCTTTATTAACATGACTAACAAAACATTTTTCTTGTTATTTTCTCAATTCTTCTTCTTCTTCTGGGTCATATGATTTATATGAAATAGTATGTATTCATTTTCAGCTGTTTGGGAACAATGTTCTGCCTAACACCAGAACAAATAAACTGGCCTGTGTTCTGCTATCTTGTAATAATAAAGACTATTTAGAACACGTTTGTACCTGTTGAGAAAATAAATTCATGTGAACAGGCAAGCCTGGCAGAGGAAAGAATTCTCTTCCAACCTTGTGTCTTGCCTGGTAGCTATTAAAACTTCCCTTTTGAAAAGAAATTATTTGTTTATTTAAGAACAATTATTTGACCATTTTGAATTACAACACTTTCACATGCTTTTCATGTGGTCAGAAAGATTTATTGCACAAAGAAAGGCCATGGAAAAGTGGTGGAAATGAAATACAATATTTGAATATTGCTGACAGTATGCTAGATACTTCCTTGTTCAGAAGACCATTCAGTCCAAATAAACATCTAAGTGCATTTGAAGATGTACAAAAAGACAGACTTGAGTTTTCTTCATTTTATGATTTACAGTATAGAAAAGGAGTGAAATTTTATATCAGAATATGTCAAAAGCACCCTAACTCAGCCAAAATATTTCATTAGGGTTATTATAAATAAAGATGATAGATTTATGCTGCAGTATATTAAAAATTATCATAGATATTATGAACACAGTCTGTAAATTTTGAAAGTCTTTTTTTTTTTTTTGTGTACTAAAAATCCAACTTTCCTATGCATAAATCCTCCTTGTCTTTTATTTTGGTAGAATATGATCTGCCTTGATACTTTCCAAATTCATGAGTTAATCTTTCCATTTTCCTGTGAAAAACTAAAGATGTTTTTGCAATTTCCACATAATGGCATTCTGGGTTTTTTTTCCCAAATAATTAAAGCTTTCTCCTCTTAGATTGGAAAAAGAATTTGAAAATCATTATGGGGAATACTGTACTTACAACATTTTTTAAACTACTCCAAAACTTCCATCACATTATTAATAAACCATACCTACAGACATACGCATAGTTACATAGGAACCCAATTTAAGTTATGTAATAAAATTGAATAAAAATACTTTATCAGATTTTCTGTTTTAATGTTGAATTTCTCTTACTATCTCTACTTCTCTCTCTCTCTACTTCCCTCCCTCCCCCTTTCTCCCCTTACACACACATGAGGGGCCTTCCTCCCAGATACTGAATGTAATTTGGTGTAACTAATTAAACAAAGTTCAAAATAAACAGTTGAATAACTGTTCATTGGTCCTCTCTCCCCTCACAGGGACGTGCTAAAGGCTAGAATTCTCTAGCACAGTATCAGTTGATACATCGAGAAAAAGACTGGATTATCTAGAATATCTGCTATTACCACTAAAAGAAGAGACCTTAAAACATCATTACTGCAGATTTTCATTGGCACAATTTTTACATGATTTTTTATAACATGATTTTAGCTACCTGAACCCTGTTTTTTCTCCACACTTTTTTTTGGGTTTTTTTTTGTTTAGGTGTAGCATGATTTATCTTATTGAGTGAGATTGTTTCATAAGAACTCTCTTTCTTCCCCCCAGTTGTTACAAACATCCTCCCTCCCTTATTCCATGCAATTGTCTCAAGGATTCTTTACAAACTTTTGTTTCGGGAGGATGAACATGGAAGGGAAAATTGCCGTGCAGAGAGTTACAATTCAGCTGTCCTGTATTCATAACAATGTAGTTATAAATTGACCTTTACCAAATCTTAGTTTCAATTATTTTAAGCATGATTGAAAGCGGCTGCCCCGTTCAAAACTGTATTTGGACAGGGGGAGAGAGAGTGGCAGTTCAACCACAGAAGCAAAACTGTTTTAGGAAAGCAAGTTTAGGTCCATATTTTCTTTGAAGTCTTCATTTGCATCTGCCCAGCAGAAATGGACTACATTTCACTGGATAGCTTTCTAGAGAGTATTCCTATCTTCTCCATGGCAGCAAGCACTATTCAGCAGCTCTTGTTATTACTGGCTATTAGAGTCTATTGTTGTGCCAGGCACAAAAGCCAGGGATAGGCAAAGTCTCTCTTACCATTATTCTTGTACAAGAAAAATATAGATGTGCAACTTGAGATGGAGAAAAGCCCAGAGAGCTTAGATGAGTATAGAGGGAAAGGAGAGGAAGTGACTGGACAGGATATTCAAAATTAGAGAGTTGTAAAATCGAAAAAGGAAAAGAAAAAGAAGAAAAAGAAAAAAAGAAGAAAAAGAAAAAAAGAAAAAGACAAAGCATTATGGTTACCAAGAAAGAGAAAAGCATAATTACCAACCATCTAAAAATGTTTTGAAACATGTGAAAATGATTGAAATGTTGTGACCAGCCCTAGAAATGCCTTGGCAAACAAGAGAATCCACTTCTCTATGTAGATTGTACCCTGGCAGCACCCCTTCTCTTTCTTCAGTTCCCTGCCTCATTCTTTAAACCTTTTATGTATACTATGTACACAACACACACAACCTTTGCATCAGAGGGATTTACAGGAAACTCATTTCTAAAGTCTTGAACCTTTCCAAAGCAGGCATGTTCCATTCACTGAGTAAACCTTATGCATCTATTTGAGTCGGTGCTTTTTTATTGTGTAAGTACAATTACTTTTCATTTTTGAGACAGCACAGTAACAATACTGTTGTTTTTAAGGGTGAAAGGATTTGGAGTTACTAGAAAGCCAAAAATTCGCCATCCTAATGAAGATGTCTTTATTCCTAGGTGAACACTTGCCTTTTTAAAAAAATACCTGGACCCATTAGCATTAATATTTGTATCTAAAGGTTCATAGGCTAGCTTGTCTTTTCACTTACATCTCACAAAACTACTGCTTGCAGAGGAATTATTCCAAATTTATATATGCATAGATTGAGAAGTAAAAATCTGCCCCTTTTAATTTGGAATGAATTTCCTAAAATATTAATCGGGTGAATCATGTTAATAGAATATTTAAACAATATTACATTCAAAGTCTGCAGGTCTGACCTTCATGACAACAGATTTTAGGGAATACCACCACCCATGCCAGGTGTACCAAACAATCCCGTTGTCTGTCTTGGCAGTGTAGGGACCTCTGTAGTACAAACCATTCAGGTTGGCAGAGTGACACCTGGTGGGAAAGTAAAGGGAAACAGCAATAAGGCCTCCTGCTGAAAAGTTCCACGCATTTGTTATTTATTTCTCTGCGAGTCAAAAAATTTTGCCATGTTGATGCCAGCCTAATTTGACAGCTGCATAAATTTGCATTTTTGAATTCTGTGCACATAAACAACAGTGTTTTAATTAAGGAAGAACTGCAAATGTTTTTTGCTTCTTTTAACCAAAAATGCTGCTTTTTTTTTCCATGTTTTATGGCATTACTAGCTCTTGGAGTTTCTCCTGCTAATTTGTTTCAGTGGAAAATTTTTCCAGAGTTGTTCAGGATGGAAGACAGCAGGGCATACACCATACTCTGGGAAAGAAATACTGTTATGGTTTTCTGTTGTTCCAGAATAGCCCCCCTTAAGTTTTCCAGTTACACCACATGGTATTTTGTATGACAAAACCTGAATACCACCATCAGTTTTCATATCGACCTGTAGACTTCTATTTAAAAAGATGAATTCTGATTGCTAATTACACACGTGTACCAATTCACTGGATCACCAGAGCTGGTATTTTGTTTGATTACAAAAAGTTGAGGGAGTTTTGTTGTTTTTTAACAGACTCGGGCAGAAATGCAGTTATAGCTTATAAAATACAGTGGTTGAAACAAACAAAAAACCCTAGCAAAACCCAGAAGGCTTGAAAAGGAAACAGCACAACCTTGATACTTGCCTGGTTTCTACAAGAAACAAGCTTAGATCTTTATGTGGAGAGCAAACTGGCTGTTCCTTTTGCAGCACATTGTGATGAATCAGCTTGGTTTATCTGCCAATTCAGTATTTCATTATAAATGCTGTTAATATCTAGCTATTGAACACCATGATGGGTTCCAAAAGCAGACTTCAGAAATTATGCACACAGAAAACATTCCAAATAAACCTTATGAGTTTTCTTACTGGCAAATCTTAGGCTTTTTGGCTTTGCTTATACTTCATTAACAAAGTTTTTGAGAACTGAGATAAAAACTATGAGAAAAATTCCATAGGAAAATTCTCATCTAGATATCCTTATTTATTGCTTACAATTTTTAAAGTCAGTTTTGATAATGTGTTAATTGAAAGCTTATAAATTGTGGACATCAAAAGTGAGTTTGTTTTTGAGAATGACAAACTTGTATCAGAGCTGACATAATCTTTGTAATCATACAAATTCTGCCATGAGCAGGCACTCTGCCTACTTTGAATCAAAACACAGATTTCATTAAAAGAATCATAAAAAGGCACACCATAATTTTGCCAACAGCAATATGAGCCAGTGAAGGTCTTCATTAGTGCTGGGAAGCATGAATAGTGAAAATTAGAGTATCCAACTAGATGCTGTCTGAAGTAACTGTACATGCTAAGTAAACATCTGGCATGTGATATGATATTGTGAAAAAACACTCATTATTCACAAGTCAATAAATACCTTAAAGTTAGCCTGTGTTCCTCCTATATTTTCAATAGGCTAATATAAAGTTAAAAAACTACACTGCAGAGGTTTCAAAAGTACAGCCAACTCTCAACTGTCCATGGATATTTTATCTGAATTATGTATTAACTGTGTGACAGATATGAAGAGATGGGAGTTGGTTCCCTGAAGAACCCTTTGAATTCTGTCTGGATTTATTGACTCCACTGACCCCACATGAATATAGTTATGCCATCTCTGGGATGATTGGTAAGGCAGGAAGCTTGAGTTAGTGATATCTGGCCCCAAGTTGTTGCCTAACAGATCACTCTTACCATCCATACATGGTATAACTAAAAATGGGAGTGCTGGGAGAGAATAAGCTGATGTTCAACTGGAATTGTGCACTCTTACTACTTAGGAATCTTTATGAACTTTATCTCACTACTTATAAACTACTTATGAGCTTTGCAATGCCCTGGGTACTGGAAAGCTTATGACCTGCAGGTAGTACCAGAGTGAACCCAGCTCTGTGGACTTGCATTCAACATAAGACTCTCTGCTAGAGCTTTGCTTACAAAAGGGGCCATTTTTCTGCAGAAGTCCAGGAAAACAAATGCTGAGCTGGAGCGAGACTGGTGGCTTTAAACTAGCTCTGAGCTACTTCCTTGTGGCCTCACTTGTGTCACGTCCCTTGGTTTTCATATTATCTGGGCTTTTCTGTATTTCATTAGTCCTGATAGCATAGAGCTGGCTATAAACAATTCCTTCATAGCTGGGAGCTCTTATGCAAACCAGCCAAGAGCACTAATTCCTTCTATATTTGCTAATCTGTGCATGACAAATATGTGTTTCTGAGTGCTTTCCTTTCCCTGCCAGTACTGTCCTTTTGAGTAGGACTTAATGATACTGACATTTTCTAGTATTTTGCAATGTTCAGTTTTATGTTAGGCTTCACATTAAAAATTCCATAACAAAGCAGTGAAATAACACTATTAGTAACTAATTTTCATTATCAAGCTAGACTGTCACTTTAAGAGCATGAGCTACACAACCATAATAAGAACCAGCCTAGTAGGAGTCAGCTATCTTTAGAAGTTATGTAGCACCAACGACAAGGTATAAATAACTGTCAAGTTCTGCTGTGCAGCTACTTTAGCAAAGTGGTCATTCTTTTGTCCAGATCAATCCAATATAAAAGAAAAAAAGTTTATAAAAGGCAAAAAATTTATTCAGTGGTCTAAAAGTGATTGGTAATTCAGTCTTAATGAAATCCATGGCATGATATCAGTTTTATGTGATTTGAGGTCCAGATACTCCTTTAAATTTACAAAAGCTCTGATTTCATGGGAAAAGAAGCTTCAACATAGTTACCTTTTCCTTTTATATCTTAACTTTCCTGAGAAATGCAAAAAAACATTGTCTACATGTGACTTTTTCCAAGACTCAAACATTCTGCTGACTGGCTATCCATGCAAATATATTAAAATGTATTAAAATAAGTAGTTAATTGTGAAACACTGAGTTAATGGCCACATCATGTCAGTAAAGGTGGTCACAGACTACTTATGAAAACAGAATTTGGCAAATGAGGAGTTAAAAAGAGAAACAAAGGATGACACAACAGAAACAATGGAGTTGATCCAGCCTGGCACCTCTTGCCAAGTGAACTGAGATCACAGTGAGAGAATAGTGTGCCTCCCTGAGCTGTATTTTAAACCTTTCTATTACACAGCTAGATTGCAGAGTTTCTCTTCATGGCAGTATTTATTTAATTAATTACAGGAAAGAACACAGCTGATCTGTACAGGCTAAGGCTACCATTTTTATTATTTCTTTTTGATTTGGTATATTGCATGTTGTAGAATTTTAAATTCTCTTATTCGACCCTATTTGAAAAAATCTTTCACTCAGTCCAGATATGCACACTGACAGAAACTGAGTGGACACATTACCATTTCCATTTGTAAAGACTAACAAGAGTGAGGTACTGTGAATTGAGGTGAAAAAAATGAGTCTTGATAACATGGCACTAGTTTAGCTTGTCAGATATTTTCAGTGCTGCCACATCTGGTCTAGTGCAACACAAAAGAAATGCAAGACTGAAGTACAGCAGGGATGTACCTGCAAGTTCTACATGACCTACTTGTGTAAAAGCTAGTTAACTCAGAGGGCAGAATGATTCTCCTCCTCACTGCCTGATAACAAAGATGACCTGTGGCAAATGCCATTATCACAGCCTGAGCTGCACAGTAGGTGCTGTCCCTTCTAAGGTGAGCCTCACTCTTACCAGCACTGAGATCTCTGCTAGGGGACAAGGACACATTGCAAATAAATGAACAATCCCAATCTATCTTCTACCATATGTTATTATTTTATGAATACACATGGAGCAGAATAGTTGACGATACCAATATGAAATCAAAATACCTGTTAAACCACCAGCCAGCCTTTTCCTCTTCAGCACAGTTCCCTTCATAGTTGTCATTATCCCTGTCTCTAGTACTGAATTTCATTCCTCGATGATCAGCCCACCATTTCACATCAGGATGAAATCCACCAGTAAGGGAATCACCAGCTGTACCAGAGTATTCACCACAACTCATCTCATAAGAATGCTAGTAAAAAATGTGAAGAAAGAAAAGAAAATTAAATTCCTATATGTCTTTAGCCCTTAACATGTCAGAAAGTGAAACCACAAACAAGAACCTAGCCTGTTCCATTTGCTGCTATTTTTATGCTAAAAATGTCCTACCACTTAAACACAATGTACTTAATACTGAAAGGCTGTAGAGATGCTTAACAGGAATAAAATTTGTCATTAACCTTATGTATAAATGACTTAATAAAAACAACATTAGGGCTAGTTTGCACTATACATTAGCAAATCAGAACATCTTCTACCATTATTGTTGGTAATATCAACAAACATAGAAAAACTGCTTCTATCCATATCTGCTACACCAAATGATTCATATCCCTTACAGAAAGTGTGAAATTAATGTATCAGAGTAAACCACTTTTAGTAGGTATTTGAAAATTAGAAGCATGTGTAAGAAAGAAAATATGGTACTAAGGCTCTACACAAATCTTTTTGGAAATTAGGGAACCTGCATGTTTATTGCTTGTCTACAGAATCCACATTTTCATTAAAACCTTTAGTCATTTAATATTTTATTACCTCTTCTCCTGCAACTCTGAATCTTGCATACTGTGCAAAACGCCGTTCTCCTTCAAAATCAGTTAGATCAATTCTTAAAGTATAATTCCCTTTAAAAAAATACAAATTATTTTAGTTAAACCAGCCTATCTCACTACTTTTCAGAACTGGGCACTACAGTAGAAGATTAAAAGAAAATGTTTTTATCATTAATCTCTATCACCTCAGCATATTTTATAGGGTTTTATCTTCTTTCTTTATGCATACTAAAGCACATATTGCTATTCTTTGCCTTTATTCAGCTTAAAAAATTTTAGAATTATTCCAATACAAATTTTCAAATGTAGGAAAAAATTGTAAAAAAAGATGGCCTTACAGGTTTTACATATTAGTACGATATTTGAGGTGGTAATGAAAGCATAGTGAAAATTCATCAATAAATTTTCACCTATGAAAATTAGATTTTTATACTCTGAAAATAAAAAAAAAGTTATACTAGGATCACATCCTGGTGGCACTGATTTCCATATGATTTAGCTGGCTAAGCCAGTGGGTAAGCTTTGTATCTGCAGCATTCCACAACAAAGCAGAAGTTAGCTTACACTGAGTGACTATTAGAAAGATGGAAATAACTTTCTACTACTGGCCTCATCAACAGGACTGGACTAGAATTACTTCCATGTAATAGCCCACACAGCTAAAAAGCCCTGAAAAGGTGTTTTGGTACAGTATATTCCTGTCTCTGGACTGTTAGTGATGCTGATGGATAGAGACAATTCTTTTAAGGTAGACTCCTCTCTCCTGTTCCCTGTTTCACAGGGGCTCTCAGTATGCCAGTGGCCTAAGGACAGTTTTGAAACTTTTCTTAGAAAACATATATTAAAATGTGTTTTTTTCTGAAACTTAGAGAAATCCATGCAGACTGAAAACAGAATTCAGGATTTATGATAACAAAAAGGGGAAACAAAAAAAATGGCCTGGAAAGAGCAAAGAAACAGAAACAATAAGACTATTGTTACAATACAAATCTTACCTTGATTAGTCAAATAATGAAGATTTTTGTTTCCAAGCCAAAATTCACCATTTTTCAAAACAAAATTTCCAAAGCCTTCTTCATAGTCAGCCCAGAGCCTGAAATGGGTATAAATTATTAATTTCTCAAAAACGCACGTTTTTTTGGATGTTTTATAATACAATTTCAGATCACAGAATAACTCAAACTGGAAAGAACCTCAGGAAGCAAGCTAGTCCAGTGTCAGTCTCAAGCCAGAATCAGCCATGAGATCAGACCAGGTTGTTCAGGGCTTGTCCATTCAAATTTTGAAAACTTCCAAGGATGGAGACTGCACATTCTCTTTGGGGAACCTGCTGACTCTTTTCATGATGAAAAAGTTTCTCCTTATATCCAGTCTGAACCTCTCTTGTTTCAACTTAGGTACTTGGTTTCTTATCCTCCCACTAGACATGTTTCTGAACATTTTTACTCACAGCGCCCTCAGATTGCTTACTTTTTCTTTTTTTTTAGATTTTTACTAATTGCAGAAGACACTCTAGTCCTTTCCACATCATTAAGAATCCTTGCTCCAAGGGTTGTTAAGGCATTTGACATTGAAGTGTCCTTGTGTCAAATGCACAAGTTGTCAGAAAAAGATTAGAACAGATGTCTCACAGAAGACAGCCAGAACCAGAAGTGATATCTCATCTGGAGGCTGTCCCACAAAATAACCATTCCTTCCTTTTATCTGGGATAACAACTTACTCATACACTTCTAAAGTTCAGATTTAACTTAGCACCATCTGGTTTAATGTTTCTTCACTTTGTTTCCAGTTTTAATTACCAAATCTAGTACCTACCTATCAAAATTCTGGCTGCCATCAGAACGTCTCTGAAACACAGTCCAGCCACCTCCTTCAGACATGTCACAGAACGCAAAGAATTCTCTAGGACTCTGGATTGGTTTTATTTTATAAAATCCATTTTGCTTATGGCCTTCATTGTAGATTTCTGCACAATCTGTTCACACAACATTAATCAGACACAACATTTTTAGTCCTGTACTTACTGGCAAAATTAGAAATCAAGTCAGTAATGGTAATCAAGTCATGTTATGTAGAAGTCACATATGAACTACACTAATAAAATGAAATGTCTCTGCAAACACATTTCTTTGACTTTTGGGTAGATTTTTGTACTTGTGTTGCTCTAAAGCTTTGCTGGGCTGTAATTATTTTGATATATCTTTGAAACAATATCTTCACATAGTGAAATACTACAATTTTTGTTTCTACTTGACTAGCAAAATAATTCCTCTGCTTTAAGTGGTGTCACTTTTAATTTACAGTGGTATCATCCACATTAGAATCCTGAAAATTACATGTAACATACAGTAATCTTTGAAAACAAACACGTACTTCTATGTCTAGAAAGTTCACAGAAATGCCAGAAACAAAAGTATGGAATCTCCAGTGTTAAAAACTGAAACAATTGCAAGGCCTGATTCTCCTGTCCCTTCTACCAAATAGGTGCAAAAATATACAGAAGACTACACCCAAAAAGTGCAATGTATGTGTAAAATGATACCACTTTGGCTTGGTACCATTCACAGTCTGGTCTGCACTGCTGTTGATTAATATAATTTACAACAATAACAAAATTCAGAGCTCATGGAAATATTACAGCAATGTAATTGTATAATCTTATATTCTTTCCTCTAGGAATTAAGAAATGAAATGAGTTCTTTGTTTATATGTAATCTACCATGAGGCAGTCATGTAGAAAAGACATATAATTTTCAGCATTTCTGTTTTTCCTGGCTAAGGTAGAGCTGATTAACTTCAAGGAATTCTCTGAATTGGCTGAACTTCCAGGCCTGCTTGGAACTTTATGAACTATTATATTTCTCTTCAGTGAAAGTGTCAGTGAAGATTAGACATAGAAAATAAATACTCTATACTGAAAACAAATAGCTATGCCAGAATTTGAATAAACTGTAATAGAAAAAATTATTTAAATAACAGCTAAGTTATCTTTATAGAGAATGTGTGATTGGCTTAGAGAAAATAGCTTTTCTTGTCCATTAATTTCTTAGTAGGTCAGCAAAACACAAGCATATCTTAATTTTTAGCACGTGTATATAGTATGGAATTTCCCCATCACTATCTAACTCAAATTATTCAGCTCTGTTGATATTAAAATGCTACAGTAGTTTGAGAAAATAATACAGTATGAACAGAGAAAGGCATTTTCCAAGCTGTAAAGAAAGTGAAAAAATAATAGGGGAAAAAAATAATCAGAAACAGGAACAAGTTAGATCTGTTTTTTTAGAATAACATTGTAAAAGAATAAATTGGGGCTTATGCTAAGAAAGGACAAATACCATTCAGAGAAATGTGGTTTTAATAATCTTTTTCAGTAACAAGTGAGTCAGCCCTAATAATAAAAATAAAGTGTTCCAGAATGCTGAGTACATAAATACACAGCTAAAATTTTTATGTCAGATTTACAACTGCTTTTAATTTCATTTCAATGGTGTTCTATTATATTTGATGCCTTGGGATCAAATGTTATATATATTGGTATTTCTTCCAGCAGCATAAGCGCTACAAGCATATTGAAACAACGCTATTGAAAATAATAGTATTTAAGACTTTCTAGCACTGGACAGCTAGAAACAAACACCACCTAGAAGTCAGTCTCCTAAATTGTATTTTCAATCAAAACTATTGTTTTGGATGGTGTTTTATTTATCAAGAGTTTGGATTATGTCTTATTATATACTTCCACTGTATTTATTATAAGCCTTCCACTGTAGAAGGAGTGGATCACTACCAGAGTACTGGTGAAATCAGAAAAAAACTTTAAATCAGGATTTAAAAGCTGTGATGTCATGAGCTGAATCCAGCTCAGTGAAAATGTTATTAAAGTGAGATGCAGATGCCATTATGCCAGGCTTAGGTGTGTAAATACGGAGGTCTCAGGGACTTCATAGATTGGAACAAAGTCAGCCATTTGAATGCATGAATGTGAACTAACCCTCTTAGTTATTTTTGAGATTGTTAGAACGTCTGACATTAGTCAAACAATGGTGTTTAGAAATCTGTAAGTCCTGATTAACATTTTGTAAATGTCTATTATTGGCTTTTATCTGTTGTATTGCTGATATTTATGCTTGTTTTAAAGTTATGATTGTTAACTGATTGTTTCTTTATGCACTACTAATAAATCAGTAAACTTCTTAAATCCTGATTTGATTTCTACAATCTGACATTAGCAATTTTTCCCTGCACAGCAGGTCCAGGTAAAAGCTGAGCACTGTGTTTTAAACAAACATTCTACAATGAGTTTTTAAAACAATAACTCAATAGGCCCAATTGTGCTAAAGCATCTGGGTATCATTACAGTGAATGGAAATGAAAAGAATAGCTCCATTTCTAACCTGAATACTGTCTTTTTCCTCCCAAGTCAATGACACTGTTTTCATCTTCTCTGTCATTGTACTGAATCTCTTTCTTCTCTAAGAGCTGTATAATTTTTAACTGCTGCTGTTTTACACGATGTTCCAGAAGCCTCACCTGGCCCTGAAGTCGTATCTGCTCTTGAAAACATTTCTGTAAATCCTAGAGAGGAAAACATATCTTATTGTAAAATCAACAAATTTTATGTGATATTTAACATGTGACACAAAGAGCCAACCAACCAAACCACAAATAAAATTAAACTTGAATAAAATATTTTGGTCACAATTTCCCACAGACATTATGTTGACTTCCATCTCTGTTGCTACTTTGTTTTAAATTATTTCATATGTTACTGTGCATATATAAAACATACATATTAAGAATGCTTTGCAAAGGGACCTTCTCTTTAGTGCTACCAGCTCTAACTGCAAACATGCAATGGGGACTTTGGGGAGAAAAAAACCCTATAATACAGACCCTATCATAAGGAGGCCCCATCTCTATCATCTTCCATGCACAGAGATTTTCTACCCAGAGAAGCCTGCTACTAACATTGTGAAGGTTCTAAAGAGTTTTCAAGGAATGCAATCCACATGGACATGTTTTCAACTTCATAGCGCATTTTTTGAATGCTTTTAAGTTACACACTTCTTATGATAAGAATCCTAACCTTGCCAACATAAATATTGTTAAGTTTTAAGCTCATTTTTGGAACACTAAAATAGCCTCTAAGAAGCCCTGAATATACATGAAAATTAAAAGTTAAAACAAAAGTTAAAGTCAATGTTGACTGCGACTTTTGTACTTAATTTTGCCATGCAGAGTGGGTGAGAAATGTGGCAATTCTGACATGCTGAATGCATGCTGAGCAATAAATAATTGGTTTTAGATTAAAGACAACGGTAAAATAGTCAAAGTGAACATAACCTGATCTGGAGAACTTAAAACCATCTGTATGGTTTAAAATATATATGAAATAAATTTGATTTCAGTGTGAGGGAGAAAAGCCTTTGGAAACATGACATAGGTTTTGCATCAGTAACACTGAAATTTTATATGAGCAGACTTTAGTAGCTTGTAAAAGAGCACAATTAGCACTGTAAAGGCAAAATCAAAGGGTGACTTTCTGGAAATCTGACATGTAAGATCAAATTTGCAGTAATTCAAAATTGGTGCTACCTTATTCATAGGGGACATTATTTACATGTAGACCTGCAATATTTGCCATTCATATGGAAGAACTGATATCTCAGAACATTGCCCTATCACACCAAACTATAAAAATGTCTGCAATAGCATACTGCTGCACATAGTGACGTTCACCTAAGTGGTGTCTGCATACTTTCATTTGCATCAAGCTCAGGTTTCACCCTTTGTCCATGAACACTTCCAACAAATTCTTCCATTTGCCTGCAATATTTAGTTCAACTGAAAAATCTGATCATAAGACTGTGCAGAACAATCCTGAAGACAAATTTCTGCCTTAAGTATTACTGAAGTGTATCAGAGACTTGCTTTAATTCATACTTAACTGCAATCTAGAGTACATGGCGAAATAAAAGAATGGGGGGAAAAAATACGTATGTGGCATAACTAGGCAGTTTGTCAGTGACCTGTTTGAGAGGGAAAGGTTCAACAGCCTGTGTTTGGGCTGCCCACGTCGGGCTGTTTGGCCCGCTGTGCGCCCAGCGCTGAGCCCTTGCTGGCCCAGAAGCTGCCAGGGCACCATGGCAATGCTTGCCCACAAGGGCACAGCCTGTGGCTGTAGGGCCAGAGGCACATTTCCCAAACACCTTTTTTAGAGGGACACAGTAATAGGCCAAAAGTTCTATCTCATTTAAGAACCTTTGCTTGAAAATCTTTTTTCAGTTGTTGATAGCTATACGAGATGCTTAGCATATCATCCTTTTCTTCTAGCAAGAAACAAGAGAAGAAAATAGTTAAATAGGTGGGCATACAAAGTTGCTACGGTGGCTTAGAGGGATGTTACTTGACTGTATGCGGTGGTTAATCTGGGACATGTTGCATATTGCAAAGAAAAGATGCACTATTTATTTTGCAGCCTTTCCAGGGTGGTTGTCTCAATTGTATCTGCAGCTTCATACAAATCCTTCATGAAAGCTGACTTTTCTACTCAGTGGGAATGAATTCAGTGGGAGATTCAGAAGAGGCTTCTTTGACAGGTGACTGCAAATTGTCAGTGTGGTCCTGTGTGAATACAGAAAATTACAGAGGACTGTAGAGCTTTAGAGAGAGAGAAAGAAATGTACAGGTAGATTGAGAAAGAGTGAAAAAATTTTAAAAGTATTCAAAAAATATTTCCAGGCTCACCCTGATGAGCTAATGCTAACTGTAAAAGAAAAGCTGTGCAAAAAATCCCATGTTCCCAGTCAAACCAAATATTTATTCTAATTATACTAAGTTAAGAGTGATAAAGAAGTCACCATGCCACAGTTACCAGTTTTACTGAGAAGGCTAGCCTGTATCAGTCTTAACTCCATCCTCACAAGCTTGGAGAACATGGTGACATGGAATAGGAGGCCTGGAAATGGTGGCCCCCATAGCCAGGCCCTCATAATTTCATAGACAAGCCTTCAGGTGGGTGACCTCTGTGACAATGGCAAGATCTGAGCCACAAAGAGCTACCTTCCATTCTAGAAAGAGCAAGGGACAGGACATTTGAGGAGGGGCAGCTACAGGTGTTTCTTTCAGCTGAAAGAAATGCCTCTATCAGTTCCCCTTTCATACTGCTAAAAGCCATTCTCCTGCTGTGATTAAATTATATAGCACAAGTATAGAACTTCTTGAAAAAAATATTATCTTACCTTAGAAAAACTTGGTATCAAAATTCAGTATGACACTACTTCATATACCATAATAAAAGGTCCTTTCCTTTGAACCAAATAAACAATTCTGCAACAAGCTGTGTCTCTAAATATTATTCTTAAACTTGCATTTAAAATCTATCTTTTGTTATTGTTTACTATAAAATTATTAATTAATTCATAAAAATGAATGACTATGAGCTGATTCTCATCTGCTTTGCAGACAATACACTCGTGATGGGGTGAACAGTGATATAGCTACACTACATATAGCAATTTCCTTATTTAAAAGGTTTTAACTCTTAATGCTTAGGAGGTTTTCCTTATTTAAAAGGTTTTAACTCTTAATGCTTAGGACGTGACAGTAAATTAGAAGTGATAATCAAGACAAGACTAGCCATACTGAATAAGCATAAGAAAAAAATTGCTTGAGAAGAAACAGTTTTGAAAGTAACCTAAATATGAAAAGCACTGGTATCTGATACTTTCTCTTCTCTCCCTGACTTCAGCCTTCTCATTGATGTCTCTCTGTCAACTCCAGACAAATCCCATTAGACTTTCGCTGCTGAACAGCAAAACCACAGTTCTCATATTTGGAATTCTATGTCTATTTTTTTTAATGGGACAATCACAAGGTAACTGTAACTTCAATTGGATCAATGTGGCTTTTAGATCTTCCATTTACCAGACTGTTCTTTCAATGTGCTGCTACACGTTTTTTCACAGGATAATCCTTTAAAAACCATTGAAGTTAAACCAGTGCACAGCTGGAGTAATAAAGAAGCAAAATGTAAATTACAGTTCTCACATATTGCTATTCCATTTGTTAGATATGGACCAAAGTTAAACCATTACAATGTTGAAATACTCAACAAAATGTGGATTTTACTGTGGCTATTCCAGTGGACAGTGATGCTCACTGACTGAAACCAGACTGAACACAACCTGTTCTGTCTGTTTCAGTGAAGCAACTGTTTGCACTACACATTGAGAAGCAATTATCTAACAACTGCTGACAGCTCTGCTCTTGGACACACAATCCTACATTTAACCAGCTGCTGCAATTAATGTGCATTCACTTTCATTATTGTGTGAATTATTTAGCATCCAGTAACCTTCCATTAAAATTATTGCTACAAATTAGACTCAGAATACTTCATGAAAATACTTCATAAAAATACAAGGTTTTTACCTGTGGTGCTATTTCCTATACTTTTTAGAATATAAATTAGCTCCAAAATAACTCTATATTGAAATTAGTGTTTTAATTAGATTAAAAGGTGAAAACTTTGAGATGAAGTTCTGAATATTCCCAGTTTTTACTCAGAGGGTCAGATAAGTCCAAAATATTCTAAATGAAAAATAATAATTAAAAAATTAGTAAATGCATTTAACTGTGGTCTCTTTTTTCGTAGGCCTCCACAGAAATCAGTAATATTTTTCTCCACTGAGCAGAAGTGATTAGAGAGTCAAGTGCTTCCCATCCTGCCTCTATAAAGCTACTTATCTGAATGAAAGTTTTCCACAAGGTAATGTAAGCCATAAACAATAGTTGTAAATTCAGCAACTACTTCCACCTAGGCAATTATGAATCAAAGATTCAATCCCTTTAGGTCTCTGCTATTTAGGACCTGGATATAAAACTAGTAAGGACAGCCATGACATGCAGTGCAGTGTTGGTGAGGCTGGAAGTATTTTAAACTGTGGAGTAAGTGTGATTTTTTTAGGGTTTTTGTTGGAGAAACAGAATAGGAGAGGGTTTCGGGAGCTTGAAGTGAAGGAGCTTTGATTATTGTTCCTGAGTGTGAACTACAATGTAGTTACATGGAAACAAGTAAGAATATGAAGTAATGGATTTTGTTTGAGAAGAACATGTAGGGCAAGTGGACAAGGTGGAAAAGGATGGAAACATTCTGCATACCAAGTGTCAGTGCCCAGAAACAGCACTGCTGCAGCCACTGCTTTAGGAGTTCCTGTGCTTTGCTTTTCTGTAAGTATGCTGCTCAAAACTACAGGTGTTATTCTCAGTTAGCATTATGCCTGAATGGTAGTATAACCATCTTGTATGCCTTCTGTACAATGTGCCTCCATGATATCTGTTTTAGGAAATATATATTGCCTCCTCTTTCACTTGAGATGCAGTCACAAACTGACTGGATTTCTTTCTTCTGTGCCATTGCCTAGTGATTTATCTTCCATTGTAAATTTATGCATTTGTTTCCTTTTTCCTATTGGAAACTTGTCCCCAGTACACACCATTTGAAGATATTTCCTCGTTCTTTCATTTCTTGATGAATTCTGATATTTTCCATCAAAGGTTCTACCACTGTGTGTAGATACTGTGAACACTATGGAGGGGAGCATTGTGAGCACTAGAGAGGATAAGGTATGCAGTATTTAGAAGAAACTCTGCAGAAATATTTAGAACTTACAGAGCTGCCAATGACATCCATCAAGCTAGCTGCAAGGACAAAATCAATCATTATCAAAATCTTCATTTTGGAAGCTGTGAGGTAGAGGAACAAAGGAAACACTAGTTAACTTAAACATTAAAACTAAAATTTACACTTGACATCTTAAATCTTATTAAAAAATAATCTATTTAACCTAGAATTATTTTCTTGCAAATTGTAAATATAGCGTGCATGCAGGATTCATCACAAATGTCTAAAATAGTCTGACAAAATACAGATCCAAAAGCCAGTAAAATAACAATTTAACCTTTTAGGCCACTTTGTATTAGAGCTCTCCATGTATTTTAGGACAGCTATTCAAGATTCAAAAGCACATATTTTATTTTCAAGAGAAAAGCAGAAACATTTTAAGCAAGCTGAAAAACAGGGAAATATTCCTTGTTGGACCTTTAAATTTGTGAGAAAGGTCCATGTCATATACAAGTAATTAAAATCTGAATTGGGCTAGTTATCCTTGGTGTAATGATTTGTGCAGATTTTGTGCACCAGGAGAGGATCAAGATAATTTTGCTGTCATAAAGTAATTTGGGGGAAAAATCAAAAACAGTTATCAGCTTTTATTCTAATGGTGACAAGAATGGCATCTTTAAACTGACAGCTATGCATACTTTGCACTGTATGACCCATAGCATTTTAAACCCCATTTTTTCATATGAAAATTATTTTATAGGCCAAACCAATCACCACTGTATCTCACTGCCTTGCAAACATTAGCTGATAGAACTTCAAAATCATTTTGTAAGACAGACGTGTGCTTTTCACAGAGGAGAAACCAAGGCCTCCTATCAGTAAAATATTTACAAAGATTATACATAAACTATTCTGAATTAATTAGTTAAACTTCTGCAAGTTATCAACTGAGGTGGTTTTTTTTCTTTGTAACTACCAATATTTTCATTTAGCATTGTTAACACCTAATTAAAACAGAATACGTGTCTACTCTGCTTTTCCTACCATCAAGTTATTAAGGAAAAGATCTCCATGATCATTGAGTTGAGCCATTAACTTAATATTGGCAGGTCCACCACTAAAGCCTGTCCCTAAGCACCACATTTACATTTTTTGAATGCTTCCAGGAATGAGACATGTTTAAAGCATTTGTGGTTAGACAACGTGTAAAACTTCTAATAGAGGTCAATGATTCAATACCAGCATGTGTTTATTGAAACACCAACTTTATGAAAATTTCCACTCATGTCTCTACAGGAATTAATATAAAATATGAGTGGAACTTTGGCAGACTGTGTTTTTTACAGTACAAAGATAAGCAAGGTGTTTATGAGAAGTATGTTTTTAAGTTTGTGCAAAATTGAACAAGTCCAACTATATTTTCACCAATATCTGAAAACTTCATGCAAGACCAGAAATTACAGCCCAGACAAATCTCAGATTTCAACACTTACCTATAAAATACTTAGGATGCTTTTTAAAATTACAGCTAGTAAAATTGCATTAGTAACTATAGCTATTACAATCACTTCTGTTTTGAAAGCAGCTGTTGCCATCTGTTGGGTGGCACTGTCTGTGACAGGAGTGACCAAAGAGTAGATAAACTATCTGGACAGCCTGCAAATGATCTGTCTCTGCTAACTGCTGTCCTGAATCCTTGCATACTTTAAATATGTTTTCTAAGAGAGAAGGGACTCTGTTTTCTTCACTGGAAGATTCATATTTCATATACTCTACTTCATCCCTGTTATTTTAATTATGAAACCACAGTATCTTCCCTCACATTAGTCTTAGTATTTGAACTGTTCTATGATGATTTCACTGACTGTGAATGTCTGAATACCACAATCAATCTTAAAAAAGCCCCAATCTTAAATGGATTGACAACAGTATTCTTATTTTTTTTTTAAAGACTGTCACATAAATCTTGGATATTGTTCAGAGAAATTTATGTTAGTAAAAAAAAAGCAAAAAACAACAGAACACTGTGAGGTACAATCAAGACAGGTAAGTCCCTCACAGCATGTATGAGCTGCTATGAGCAAGCTGCACAAGAAGAGGGAATAACTGAGGAGTGGAGTGTGTGCAGTTGGTTTAGTTTGTTATCTTCAGATGAAGTCACCTTTCTATTTAAGGATGCCTCTTTCTATAGAATGTTCCTCTTGTGCAAACCTTCATAAGAGCTGCCACTTGGGAGACAACTTAGCATGTCAGCTTTAGTGCTGAACTAAAACATGCTCAAAAGACATAGCAAAATATAATAATGGTCTCATAAATTTCTGAATTTGACAATTTAAATAAATTGGTGAAGATATTTTAATCCTGGAGTTTCATTTTTAAGAAAGCAAGCTGGACAGTAAACTCAAGATGGAGTATTGATCCTGTAGCCACTCACAATGTAAGCTCGCTATGGATGTAAGACAAGAGGCTCATAAAGAGGGAGAAAGTGAGGCTTCCATTTGGCAAATCTACCAGTCACAAACAGGGAACACTGAAACAGAGAGGACACAGGGTAAAAAAACGCACAGAGGGACCTCTAGTAGGATAGGGAAAACCAAAATCTTTATACTGTGGTCCTCCATAGAAAGGGAGAACGTAAAAAGGAAGAGACCTGAAAACTCAAGTTCTGAAAGCAAATGGGTGACTTAAAAGCATTTCTCTGCTTCTGTCACTAGCCAGCAGATAGACCCAGATGAGTCAGAGGACAATCACCAGTGCTAGTCCCAGACCTCATACCTTTAAGCCAGTTTCTCAGCAGGCATAAACTCTTTAACTCAAAAAACCTGCAAAAAATTACAAGTTTTAATCAGTCACAGAAGAACCTGAAGAGTTAACAACTGTTGAGAGACTTCCAAGACTAGTTTTATAACACCTGTGTTGATTCAACAAAAAGAAAAAAAAAAAAACAAAAAACCAGAAATTTGTACAGGGGATATCCCCTTCCAGGAAAATCTTAATCTCAGACACCAGACATGTGGATTAATTATCACACATCATATGCTAGAGTGAGAAAAACTTGGTCTTATATTTTCAAGTTGAAACACAAGCCCCTTAACAGTTAGCTGAAAAAAAATCACTTTCTGTTTTAAACAAATTGAGTTCAAGTGCAACTCTTGTGAAACCTTGACATTTTATCCCTGGGGTCACTCATTACTATTCCAAGATTACACCTGGAATATGCATTTTAGGCAGTATTTTTTTTCCAAAGCTATGGAATCAAAATTCTAGAAAGACGTCTTTTTTTCTTCTCTGTGCGTAGGCTTTCTTTAAAGGATACACACAGAGTCAATCCTATATTCAAATTTCTCCTGAATCTGATGTTTCTTCCAAGTCTTTAAATAACAAATTACTGAATAAATTTGATTACATCAAAGAAGTTCTGTACTGTGAAAATTTTGGACCATTAGAATGTTCTTATGTTTTTTGAATTTAAGAGACAGCAAACTAGATGGAATACAGATGCCTGTTTCTTTCTGTTGGCACAGCGTCAATAAGACTTGCATTGCTAATAAATACAATAATAGTAAGAGATAATCTGCCAAAAGGATAGAAAATAACTGGAAATTTTTTTGTTTGCTTTCTTAAAATTCAAATTATTAAACTCATGCACAGATTTTGCTTTGTTTAAATTTGGTGCAGTTACAAATATGCCCTGTTTTCCTCATCTGAAAAATAATTAATTATTTTATTTACTTTTAGGTTCTAAAATCAGCCTTGTTCATATAGCCCGTAATAATACAAATTTAGAAATTGCAGATTAAAATAGTGGGTTTATTAACTACCTAGAAATGCAGGAAAATACCTAGATCCTGGTAAAATATCCGTACCTCTTTATCAATACTACACCACTTATATGACCTTCAAAAAACAAATTACTTTAAAACCATAACCATAGAAATTAGACATACATCTTCCTTCTTCCCTCATAGGTACCCTAAATGTTTACCTTTAACTTCTGGACAGAACTCAAAGTAGTTAAATCTTCTTAAACTGATGCAAATAATTCCAGAGCCCTTCCCAAGCTGCGATTGTTTTTGCTATTAAATTCTGCAGAGTGGAGGCTTACATCTACTATGAGTCACTGGACTGGAATGCTGCTGAGAAGTTGCAGTTATCAAGACTAAATTGCAACATAAGAAGATGACAGTTATTCTGCGCCTAACACAACACTTCTGAAACAAAAATATACCAAAAATAACACAGGATCATCTATTCCCTTTCACTCTTGTGGTTCAAGGAATTGCTCTCTGTATCATACTCAGCTTTATACTCCAGTCCTTTCCATAGTCACAGAACAAATCTCAGGCTTCAGAGGTACATAAAGAAAGTAACAGATTCAGTGGATTTAAGGAAAAAACAATATTCACTCAGACTAGAAGTGACATGTCAGAAGTGTAACAAAAAAAGAAATATACTAAATAAAACCTAACCCAAAGTAACAAACATAGTACAGATAAAACTGAAGGGATCAAGAAAAAAGTACCAAAAAATCTTGTCTGATGTATTTTTTAGTCAAGGCACTGAGAAGTATAGCATCTCAGTGACTTCGTCAGACAAAATAATTTTCTAGACAAGCTTTTTAGAGCCAGATGAATACATCAAAGAATGTTTTAAAATACAATCTGAGTATTTGCCCTTCTTCTATGCTGGCTCTTTCCAAAGAGTTCAGTAAATGAGTATGCTTAAAGGAATGTGCTGGAAAAAAAGAAGTCTTAAGGAAATACTGAATAGCAATAAAATGAGCTTAACATTCAACAATCTAATCATAGAATGCCCTGGGTTGGAATGGACCATAAAGGTTACCTAGTTCCAAACCCCCTGCTGTGGGCAGGGACACTCTCCACTAAACCAGGTTGCTCAAAACCCCATTCAGCCTGGCCTCAAACACTCCCATGGATGGGGCATCTACAATTTCTCTGTTCCACCACCCTCACAGTAAAGAATTTCTTTTTAATATCTAATCGAAACTTACTCTCTCTCTGTCTAAAGTCCTCCCCCCTCATTCTGTCACTACACGCCCTTGTAAGTGGTCTCTCTCCAACTTTTTTCAGAATCACACAATGTTCTAAGTTGGAAGGGACCCACAAGGATCATCAAGTCCAGCTCTTAAGTGAATGGCCCATATGGGGATCAAACCTGCAACCATGGCTTTATTAGCACCCACACTCAGTCCAACTGAGCTCATCTCAGGGCCTTGTATTGCCCTTCACGTACATCCTATTGAAGACTAATACTTGTTGCAAACTTCCTCAGAATAATTTCTGGTGCACTATTTGGAATCTGGTTGCCTGGCAGTATTTCTCTTTACTCTTACATTACATCCACTAATTAAATTCATATTCTGAATTTCAAATCTTTATTAATTACTCCTGAGGAACCTACAGTAAGCAACATTCAAAAATTCAAAATCATTCAGCAAATAATTTTTACTGAGAATCTTACTATGACTAATGACTGTTTCAAAGAGGGACATACCTGTTCATAGTCTGACTCCTAACCAATAGTTACTCAGTGGGTGGGCTCTGAATTTCAAAAGTAGAAAAAAGGCATGGCATTTTACAGTTGGATTTTTTAACAATAAATAAATTAAATTAAATTAAGAAAATAAAGTCAACATTTTATTGTGGGTCATAAGTAGATTGCCCATCACTTGAGGGCTTTAAACAAAGACTAGATGGCTAAAATACATGACTATGGTTCAGTTAAACAAGATTTATATGCAGTGTCAAGTCAGAGATCTATTCAAGAAGTCTATATGCTACCCATCATTAGAATGGTCTTGTAAAAATAAACATACTAAATGCAAGACCTTCAAATGGATGTCATAAAAGCACAAAAGGAAGAGAGAAATGTCTTTTTAGACCTGTTGGAATACATTCAATACTGAAAACTGACAAATGTTCATGAGAGACAGGTGGAGATGGTTGACTTGAAACATTTCAGGCTCCTGTGTGGGGAAAGGGGCAAACCAAGTCTTGCCCTGGCAAGGCAACACTCCGCTCCACACACCCCATCCCTGGGGCTGTATCCCAGCCCCCACAGGGGCTGCCAATCCCTGGCACACCAGAGGCCATGCTCCACACCCTGCCCCTGGAGCCCCTAACCCAGCTCCTGAGTGGCTACTAGACCAGAATCCCACCTGAGAGAAGGGCCCAGGAAAGCCAAAATGTACCTAAGCCAGAGCACAAGGCATGTGTACTGTCTGACCCTACTTCCCTTGGGTTTTGATCAGCTGAAACACTGCTGGAACCAGGAGTAGTAGCTATATTTGCATCTCTTCTCCCTTTTGCTTTCTTCTCTAATTCCCTCTTCTCAAAGTTTGAGTAACTTAAAATCGGGTGGGTCGGCATTTGCTTGGTTGAATGGGCTTAGAGAGGGCTAAGTTATTGCTTTGTGAAATGCTTTATGTTGAATGAATGTTGTTTTCACCTTTTGCCAAAGTTCCCTGATTTTCTGAAGTTTGACAGTAAAGTTTCTGTTGTTTTGACCTCTGGAAGAATAGCCTGCTGATATTTCTGGCATACATCTGACTCAGGGTACATGAAAGAATCTTTGTCCCTTTTAAGAAATTCACTGAGTGAGATCTGAGGCTCTATAATGTCAGAAACTTTAATGTGGCCAGTAAATACTGGATGTTCCCACAGATATTCAGATTTGATGCTCTTTGAAGAGTTTGCACAGAAGTGAAGGAAAGCATTGGATCATTAATAACCCTTCTATCATTTTGTCATAGAGTATATATAAAGGATAAAATGCTGTTTTTCACTTCTACTAAATCAAGATGTTTAGACTTCCTCCAAGAAAAGTAAGAACATTTAGATGTATTACATCCACTGTATACCTTTTTTTTGATGTTTACAAGAAAAAGCTAGCACAAGAAATCAGTGGTCTTTTTTTCCATTATATTAGCACTTGCAGCTGAGTACCTCTCCAGGTATTTTAATCTGACAAAAGTTTAACAATTTAGGGCAATCCCAGACATGGATACCAGCTGGTGATGGGTGGATTGAGAGCAGATCTTAAGAGATGGGCTTAGTGGATGAAAAACTAAGTATGAGCCAGCAACATGTGCTTGCAGCCCAGAATACAAATTTAATCCCAAACTGCATCAAGAGACACATAGCCAGAAGGTCAGGCGAGCTGATTCTGCCTCTCTACTCCACTCTCATAATAACACTTCATCTGGAGTACTGCCTCCAGCTCATAGGCATCCAGGAGAGGAAAGACATGGCCCTGTTGGAGCAAACCCAAAGGAGGCCATAAAGATGATCAGAGGGCTGGAGTATCTCTTTTACAAAGACAGGATGAGAGAGATGGGGTCATTCAGCTTGGAGAAAAGGAGGATCCAGGGGGATTTCATTACAGCCTTCCAGTACCTAAAGGGAGCTTACAAGAAGGTTGGAGAGAATCTTTTCTCAAGGGCATGCACTAATAGGAAAGGGGTAAGGGCTTTAAGTTGAATAAAGAACAGGCTTAGATTAGATATTAGAAAGAAATTCTTTACTGTGAGGGTGGCCAGACACTGCAACAGGCTGCCCAGAGAAGCTGTGAATGCTTCATCCCTAGAAGTGTTCAAGACCGGGTTGGATGTGGCTTTGAACAACCTGGTCTGGTGGAAGGTGTTCCTGCCTATGGAAGAGAGGTTGGAAGTAGATGATCTTTAAAGTCCCTTCCAAGACAAATCATTTGATGATTCCATGACTGTAAAATCAGCAAATGCAAGATAATGTATTCATTATATGATTCTTCATCATTCAGACTCAAAAGGATTTGCAAGCATACAATAAGCTTTAATAATACAAGGAACCATAAATTCTTCCCTTTTGAGTTGTTACACAGGTGTTAAAAATGAGAAAAAAGTATACCTTTATAAATTATTTGTATGATTTTTATTCGGGAATATTTTAAATCACCTTCAGCTGTCATTGTAGAAATATGGAAGGATCAAAGATTGTACAACCACAACATGGTAATTGTGTTTGTCAAAATATACGTCTATCTGTTATAAATCAATTTGTTTATGCTCTTCTCTGCATTGTTTTCATTTGTGTAATGCTAAGGGCAAAATAGAGAATATGTAATGTATTTCATTCTAGGATTGGCTGAGATTATGTATTTGAAAATGTGCATCCAACACTGTACATCCACCATAATGAAATGGTCTTTTACATATGCTGAACTGTTACAATAATAAATGGAAAATTTGAAATGGAATACAATGCTTAGTTTCATAACTTAGATGCTAGGTTTTTTGGTTTTTTTTTTACTGAGGGGTAAAAGCAAGTAAACAAACAAACAAAACAACCCCAAAACCTATCCTGACCAGCTCTATCAAAATCATGATATCTGAGTAAACTTAACTTTGGGTGTTTTTGACTGCGAAACCAGCACATTATGAAAGAGTAATGATGTGGGTACTCCCATACCAATATTTTGTTTCTGAAACAGAACAAAGCTTAAATAATAGATAAGCCAAACTCAGCGTTATGACTAAAAACCTCTGCAGGTTAATGTTTTTAAAGGCAGCCTTCTTTCCAAGAGTGTGTATTTTTTAATAGAAAAAAAAGCTTCACGATATTTTAAACTCCTTTGATTTTTAGCATGCTGTCTTCAAAATGCTTGACACAATCCTAATAAAAAGCAGGGGTAGAAATAAGTTGCACCAAAAAGACAGCAATCCATCTATAAACTTATGAAGATTTTGCCGTATTTATATATTCACCAAACATGTTGCACATAGTGACTAGGGCCTATTACTGTAACCTGTGTATGTGTTCTCTAAAGTATGCGATCTCTAAAAGTTACATAATCACATGATCAATTTGAAATATTACATCAATAAATGCAATTCCCTAATGAGACCAAGAGATAAGCAGAAAAGAACTTCATACCTATTCTGAAGAAACAGAATGAAGGCACCTTATTTTCTGACGTATGTATAAAATATACAAAAATAAATTCCATTTTAAAAATAATTTACCTCATTTTTATGCAGTTTTAAGAAACAGGTGCATAATTCAGTGATTTCATAATCTGTCATTTCACATATATAATACAGAAATCAGCAACATATCATTATCATGAATAATAGGACCAGTAAATCCAACATATTTAGACATTATTTTATCGCACACCAAAAATTGGGGGAAAAATCCCCAATTCTTATTAGAAATATAAAATAAGCAACTCCTCCCATCTTTTTCAATAGGCAGTAGCAAAGGCAGTGTAACTAGTATAGATACATAGGAAGACATCACAGAGTTGGAGACCTAACAAACATCTAGATCTGTACACCTCTTGGCAGAATATGGAAAAAAAAACAGTGGACTCAAGAGAAAGCCCAGAGTGATTCTAAAAAAAAAAATTATCACAGCAAGTTCCATTGCTGGTGTTTGTCTTCTATTCATAACCCTCAAAATATTAACAAATATGAATTAAACTATGTTGTGAGGAAATGTATCTGGCATGACCTGCTCAAGATCTTAGTGTGAGTGCCAAGAAAAGAACATGGCCCATAATCTTCTGCCTTATTTAGAAGAACAGCTTACATATCCTGCCTTCTCCTGCCTTCTTTACACAGGAAGCTTCCTGCTGGCCTCAGTTTTCCTTTTGCCATCTTCAAAGACATCCTTCTCCTATATTCTACTTTTTGAAAAGTATGGAATGTCTTTGGAAAGGTGCACCAACTAATCCCTCTTCCTTGGTATTGATCAATTTAGTGTTGTTGTCCATCTGTACCAGCCCTAATCAACAGCAGAATTGGAACCACATAGCACCAAATCTCTATCACCAGAAAAAGAAAGGAACCAGGAAAGTAATTAAATTACTAATGCGACAGAAAGATTTAGATTAGAAAGTTATTAAAAATCTTTCAAAATTACTCTAGTTTAAATCCTTGCATATATATATAGGCATGTGTGTATATAGTCATTGGACATGCAAGGCCATCATACTGGTTACTTCTATACTTGCAAAACCAGTATCACAAAAGCAAGTATCTATTTCAAAAGCATTATTGCCATAGGATAAAATGCAGAACATCATAAAATTAATCAAATCTGTGTAGCTGCAGTGAAACTCCTTATAAAAACTTTTTTTGTTAGAAGTCAGCACAATTGACTATGAACAAAAGGCCACAGAATTATTTGGAATTTTTTCTTTTTGTGGATTGGATGTTCGCTAGCAAAAAGCTTAGTGGCTGTAAAATGACCCACAACTTCAGCAGATTTCTTTCCACTTAAAGAAATATAAACACATATGAAAAAAATATTAGGTGGCTTTGAAGAATTCACTGTAGCATGAATATGCTAACTATTTTAATGCTGGTAAGTCTTCAATGTAACTGAAGCCACACAGTGTAGAGAAAGCACTTAGTTATGAATATACAGGAGTGACTGATATCAGATAAACTGCAGATTGCCAGCTACAAAGCAAAAAAATAGGATGAATCTACAACCTTTTCCTCTTAGAATTTTAATTTGCAAATGAGAATTCTTGGTTCTGATTACTTCTCTGTGTGTGGTGGGGTTACTTATTTCTTTCATATTCTTGTTCTTTGAATCAATTCAGAAATAAAAATTTATGTGGTATTCTTAAACTGTATCATAATTTTATCTTTTTCCTGTTCACTTTTTAATTTACTTATCTGTTCAGTGTAGCACATATTTATGTCATGACTCCAGAAATCTAAATAATGTGGAAGTGACTAGGCAATATCCTTGTATAAAACAACCACCCAAAATATTGTGAATTAAAGGCTGTTCCTACTCACTTTTCTGAAGAGTCTGCAGATATACCTGGTTAAGTCAAATCTATCATTTCAGAACAACTGAAGTTTTTTGTTTCTTCTTGGACTATCTTTTTTGGCCAAGGAATAAACTGAAGATGCTAACGGACTACAAATAGGAAAAAAAGAAAGATTAGACAATGTAATTAAGAGTACGATATATAAAATATAATGTTGAATTCAACAGCATAGAGAGACATCTGGATTAAACCCCATATTTGTACGGTGCTTGTAAAATTTTATTTGATTTCTAAAGAGTGAAATAATACTCATAATCTTGCCAACTTCTGTGCTCTATGGACCTCTTTTAACATAGTTTTTAAAACAGATTTCAATGGAGTCTGACTTCAAAGAGGACAATGAGAAAAATGTGGTCTTAGGTATTCTAGGCAGGGCAGCATTGGTGATCCCGATGTGTGCTGGTTGTGTGAAATAAGTGTGTTTAATAAAACAAATGTCTTGTGGGTCCATCCATCACTTTATCACTTGGTCTGACTCCAGTCACTAATATTTTCTAGAATGTAATACCTGGAGTGCATATAACAGCAAATGTTACAGATTGGTGAGATAATAGCAGCACCAAGAGGATTACTTCCTGCACTCTTAAGGATGTGGAAAATGTTTACAACGGGGATCCTGTCCATTCTTATCCAAGATTTTTCCTGGGATCTGACTAAGTCAGCTAATACCTATCTTCCAATTATTCCTCTTTCCTTTATTGCTTCTGATGACTGTTTTTCTTCAGTGGATCATCAAAAATGGTTTTCTTTTTGTCCTAGTTTCTTCACTAGTATTAAACTGGTGAATCTTGCCCAGCTTACAGCTTGGCTTTGTGGTCTTAAATGCCTATGCCTCTCCCCTGCTTAGCTTCTTATCAGACCTCATAGAGATAAGTGGACACTTCATCTTTCTATACAAATAAACTTGAAACTCTTTGCCTTAAAAGACTTTTTCCAATCTAAAGATATGCAAAGAAATAAAAAATACGTTTAGTATAGTAGCTTGGTAGTCTGTGTGTATACATATTATGGTAGGCTGATCATTTTTGGACAGTTTAAATTTTGCAGCAAAAACCTCTTTGTTACAAAATCAGGGAAAAAACTGACAACTACTGCTTGAACCAAATGCACAATTAATTACTATATCTGTTTCAGGGGCTTTCAAATCTCTCTCCCCAGATTCTTCTCACATCTCCTCTGTCTCAATAAAACATTAATCTTTCACTTCTTCCTGTCTCCAGTCCGTCCATGCCTGTATTTTGCTTTCTTTCACTTTGGAATGATAAAGAGAAATTAACAGGATACAGCCAAAAGCTGTGTAAGAAAAATATAATTATGTCTCTGACATGGCTTTCAATCCTAATTAAATTGGGCTATCTCAAAGATAATCTATTCAGTTTCTGTGGGGATGCACTCATTAACATGAAGCTGCAGGAAGAGCTTTTAACAGAGATCTTTGTAGGGGGGTTTAGTTGTTGTCTGTTTAGAGGGTCATTAGCATTGATGTAGCATTTCCCTCCCCCCCTCCCCAAAATATATTTATTTTATTTAATTAAAAAGACATTCTTTAAGTAATATGAGTTTTGCCTCATAATCATTCCCAAATCCTGAGATGTTATTTTACAGCAGTAGTGGAGAACCACCTACTGGAAATCATGCATCTTGCAGTGCAATCCACTATTCCTTCATGCCTGTTCGTATCTTTTTGAATTCTCCATCCCAAATGAAAAATGGCTCTGAGGAACCATTCTAAAATAAATAAACAAACAAAAAGAAAAGAAAACACATTAACAAGTTTGCAGCCAATTCCAGAATAGGGGAAGAAAATAAGAAGAGAAAAAATCATCCTCCAAATGTCAAGCAAGAATAAGAGTAATGATGCTGTAAGCTCATACTGTGCAAAGGAAAACACGCAGTTATGACATATAAGGGACTATACTAAAATACTAAAATACTCCATTGTTACTGAAACATACTACAGTCAATTTGTTTTTTTTTTCCCCTTGACAGAGTATTTTTTATGTAAGTTTGTTTGGTTGGGTTTTTTCCTGCAGGAAACAATAGGAATGAGGAAGCTGTATTTTAAGAATAAGGCATAGCAAAAAATAAATTGTAGTCAGTGTACTAAGGGTAGTATTTTCTCTTGAGTTCTCCTTCCACCTGCCATGCTATGGGAGATTTGTCACTGAGACAACAGAAAGCATCTTGTCAACTGCAACATTGCCAATACTGTGATGACTATCCAGACATGATACCCAAGTTCAGAAAAACAGGACATTAGTTAAAAGTATAATAAAAATGCCAATAAACTAACTTCTTTATTAGCTGCAGAATTGCAGTAGAGATTGATACTATATATTCATCACAGAGAGCTTCTATCAAACTGTTGTAGATTGTTTTCAAAGTAATTTCATTTGCGGCTATGCAGTCAAGTAGCTCATGGTAGAAATGGGAGAAAGATTCTGCTCTAACAGACTGTCTTAGGCTCATCTCTTTCACTCACTCAGTATTGTCCAGAACTTTGGTATGGGGGAATGTGCTGGAGATAACAAAATTACTTTTATTGAAACATCTTTATTTTGATGCTTTTCCAATTATTTAGTTCCTTTTCTAGATTACAGACAGATTAATGGATCATTGAAAAGGATTCATGTATCTTTTTTTTTTTCTTTAGCAAAATACATTAGTATAAGTCCTAATATGGGAGACATGAGGACTAACTACATTCCCATGTTGCACCAGTAGTAAGTTTCTCTAACAGGATCAGTTATGAGGCCTATGTGAATGCTAAATGCTTTTGCTTTAGAAACTCAGCGTAATGGAAATGCTGAAAATGCTGGGGGTTTTCACAAGGGACCATCCCCTCCAAATGAAGGTCATATATGTGATACCAGCTTCACTGAAATAGAAATCCTGAGCGTGTCATCCAAGCCCAGTCCCCTGAAGGACTAACAGCTTCCTTGTGAGGGAAGAGGAGGGCCAGGCACTGATCTCTTCCCCGTGGTGACAGTCACAGGGCCTGAAGCTGCATCCGGAGAGGTTTAGGTTGGACATTAGGAAAAGTGTTTTATCCAGAGGGCGGCTGGGCACTGGAACAGGCTCCCCAAGGTAGTGGCCACAGCATAAAGCCTGACCGAGCCTAAGAAGTGTTTGCAAATCACTCTCGGGCACATCGTGTGACTCTTGGCGTGTCCTCTGCAGGGCCAGAGTTGGATCTTAGAGTCGCTTCCTACTCAGCATATTCTGCATTTCTTTTTAACTTCAGTTAAATACCAAGTACAGCACACAAGCTTTTCATGCACAACTATCATTTTTTTAAATGCCAAACTCTCTATTTATTTTTTCCCCCCAAAGGAAAGTATAAAGAACCTAGATGCGTAAACTCCATGCCACAAATTAAGGAGCGAAACACGCAGAAAGCTGACAATAACAGAGTAGTCGACACTGCTCCAAAGGAGGGCAAGAGCTGATCCTCGTCCACGCTTAGGGTTTCGACACGATTTTACTCGTCTTCCCTCAGCCAAAAGCATTTACAGAGTTCATCGCCGTTTTCCTATCTTATTTTGTAAGAAAAACACACTGGGCGATTCCCCGCCGGCCTCACAACAACGCTGGACGCGCCCCAGTCCCGTCATGGGGCGGGGGCGTGCCCTGAGTGGAAAACTACCATTCCCAGGAGGCACCGCCGCCGGCCCTGGGGGCGCCGCGCCCCCCGCACAATGCACCTTGGGAGTTGGAGTTTCCTCGCCCACCGCTCCTCTCCCGCCCGCCCCGGCGGTTGCGCGGGGGATCCTCGGGCGCTCCGCGGTCCAGGTTGGGCGGGGCGCGCGCAGTGCGGAAGGGCATGGGCGGGCGGAGGTTACCAGGTAACGGTGAGTGTGTCTGTCTGTCCGTCTGTGTCTGTATCCCTCCGCCAGGAACCGCCCCCCGCGCTCCCGGCGTAGTGGCGGCCAAGATGGCGGCGGTGGCTGAGGCAGGAGCGTCGTGAGCGCCTCCGCCAGCCCTGTCCCGCCGCGTCGGACGAAGCGAGGCCGCGCCGCTCCTCCGCTGCTCGAAAGCGAAACGTTCGCCCGGGCAGCCCGGGCCCCGCGAGTGGCGGCCGGCGGTGGAGGAGGAGCCAGGCCGGGTGACCTCCCCTCCGGCGCGGGGTGAGCCGCCTTCTCCTGCCCCTCGCGCGGCGCGCTGCCCCTTCCCCGTCCCTGTTCCCTGGTGGTGGCGGGGCCGCGCTGGTGTGGCGGGCCAGGGCGGCGGCCCGCGAGGGTCGGGACGAGGAGCGGGCAGTGGACTAAGGAAGCAGGTGCGGGGCGGCGGGGAAACCGTGCGGTAGCAGCGGGCTGTGCGGGCCGCGCCCCTCGCACAGGGCAGGGCGCGTTATCCGCTCTCCAAGGAGACGCGGCCGCGTTCGCGGCAGTGGAGGCGCCTTGAGCAGAGCCCGCCTACCCACGCACCCCGCGGCGCCCGGGCTTTGGCGCCGGGAGCGAGCGGGATCTCTGCCCGCCGCCGGCGGGCCGGGAGCGCCTCGCCCGCCTCAGGCAGCGAGCGGTGAGGCCGGCAGAGCCGCCGGGCCATCGCCCGCTCCGCCGGCCCCGCTGGCGGCGAGACCCGCCGGGCCTGCCCTCGGCGCCTGCCGTTGGGATCGGAACAGATCGGGACGGCAGAGCCTGCCGGCGCTGGGGAGGCCCCGGCGCTGGAAGCTGGAGTGCCGGACACACCGCCCATAGCCAGGGTGTGTGAGTGTGCGGCTGGTGTGAGCGCTATCCGGTGCGCCAGGAGAGGATCTGCTCTGTTGACTGCTCCTGTGTGATGATACTGTATGGTTTGCTTTTAAGGAGTTAATGCCCAGTGAGGAGCGCACGTCTTAAAAAGAAATATTTGGCCCCATTTTCAGCCTTCGTGGTGCTATGATGACTTTTTGCGACTTTCTGTTTTCCGTTTATTTTTTTTTAATTGTCAAAAGTTTTCTCTCTGCAGTATTAGGTGCTCTAGAGAGCTCGTGCATTCACATGAATGCTATGGGAAAAAATTCTCAAGAGCATCTTTACTGTAGAAAAAAGCCTTTTGAAGTACATACCTTTGTTTTGCTCGTGTGTTAAGTAGTGTTTCTTCTGTGCAACTACATATTGCTGATACACGGGCAGGATGTTTTGACTCTAATCTTACATGTTTTGCCTATAATTCTGCATATTATCTGAAGTTATTATTACTGTAGAAAGTATAGTTTAGAGTCTTCTTTTTTTCTCAAATCCCTGGTAAAGTTTGTAAGGCAGTAGCCACACGCTCAAAGCTTTTGTACAGTTCCTATGACTTGCAAGAACCTGAAATTAGCAATAGGTTGCTGTAGATAGATGGACAGGTAGATAATGGGCAGATAGCAAAGTTTTTAGAAGAGGATTTTTTTGCAGAAATGGCTGGTAAAATTAAAACAAAGAAAAAATGCGTATTGGTGAAATGTGTATGTGGAGGTGGAAAGCACAGCTTCATGTGAAAGAAGAAAAAACCTAGCTGAACTGCTGTGTTCTTGAACTGAGTTAAAGATCAGAGCTCTCTGATCTTAAACTCGCTTGATTATAGTTCATTTGAAGGTATCAAAGACTATAATAGGGACGTTTAGAAGCTTTCTTTTTGGTAGGGGGACAGTTCTGTTAGAACACTTTAAAATCTGCTGGAAGTAATGAACATACTGTTATTTTTGAGCCGTGTTTATCAGGGTGTGTTGGTGTATGCTGGGTCTCCTTGTTCAAGAGTCCTGTTATTCAGAATATTCCATCTGGGGCAGATGGAATTTACTTCAGAGGTAATGTGTCTCCTACAGCAAAGATAGTTGAGAACAGGTTTTGTGAAAGTTTTAAAATAAATAAATGTTGAGTAGTTACTTGTATTTTGTAAAAAGGAATATTGCCACTTCTTTTTACAGTAGAAGGTAGGGAAAAACTACTTTTGCTGTGGTTTTAATAGAATTATATAACATGATGATGAGGAAACGGCTTACAGAATGGAACTGTAAACCCAGATGGCCTCTAATCCTCCTCATGCTCGGTGACATAGGTCAGGATACAGTGCCTGTTGAAATGTTGGGTCTTAGGCATCTACAGAGCTGAGCAGTTTATCTGTAACTGGAGAGTTTGTTAAAATCGTGGCTGCTTTTAAACTGATAACTATGCATTTGCTTTGAATGCTTGTAAGTTTTAGCATGAGCTTCCCTGCAAACTTTTTATAGCATGTACCCTCTGGTTGCATGGCCTAGTGGGCACTTCTGTTGGGATGAAGAAGGGAGTATGAGTTCTTGTGCGGGGACAGAAGGGCAGAGTTCCCAAAGCAGCAGGCACTTACAGCTGTTCTGCGAGTGTTGTGATCGGGGTTGTGAGATGCAGAAGCGGAATGACTCCGAACTGCATCACCGTGACCTAGGCTGGCACGCTGCCGAGTGAGATGTGGTTATGGTGTAAGGGCCATGACTGGTAGATCCCATTTCCTTTATGATTTGGTAGTTGTCTGTGTTTGCATAGGAATTTGTGAGTGTGCCTCTTGAGAGGGCTGTACTGTGTGATTTTGATGGAATCCTATGCCAAAGCAAGACGGGTGTACTAGGACAGCTTTTAAACTTAGTTCAAAATTAATCTGTTTTCCTTTCTGGAACTGATATTAAAAAAAAACAACAAACTTTTAAAATACTTCCTTATCTTTAGTTTTGGGTGATTTCTTCACATGCACTCTGTGAAAATTAGTAGTCGATAGTTGCAGTAAAATGTTGAGAAAGTAGTTCGTATCAACTTCTATATTTTTATTTTTTCAGTTAAGCTTAGGGTTATGTCCTAACATTGTGGTGGAAATGAGCTGGAAAAAGTAAATCTCTGCAAGACTGCTTTTCTTCTGTATCTGTTACAGTTTTTTCATAGGTAAATTTTGTAGCTTTCTGCAGTGGAATTGTGCCAGCAGCACTTAGCAAATACAGTTATGTGTTCTTTACCTTTTGGAATAGGTTAATCTAATTTTACTCTCATAAAGGAATACTTTTTCTGATCTTTCAGCTTTAACAATTTTTTTTTTAGTTCTAATGTGAAAACAAGAAGTGAAAATGAAAACTTTGAACATTTAAAGTTGCTTTATATTGCACAGAGTGACCCTGATGAAGAGCAGCTAAGCTCTATGAAACCCACATTATTTTGTTTGGTTTTGGTAGAAACTGTAATGTAAGCGGCAGGTCATTCACTGCTTAAATAGCTTAATGAGTGGTAATAAAAGTAAAAATCCTTTTACTGATGTCTGTTTTCCTTGTATTTTTTCAAGTGTGTCATTCAGTACTCTGTTTTCAGTATCTCAGTATGAAAATGAATGTGGAAGTTTGACATCCTAGGTCTCCAAAGTCATTTATTGTATCAAATAGACATAGCCCTGGGCCTGAAAGTGTAGGCTTTACGAATTATGAAACGGTCTTTCTGAGCACTGTATAATTTGTTTTAAAGTGGGGACAATTGAAAGCCTCAAAAACAAAAACAAAACAAAAAAAAACCCCAAAACCCCAAACTAAAAAACCCCAACTTTCTTTCATAGATCAGAGGTTAAAAAGCCCCAGACCCACACCTACTGTTTGTTTATTTTTTAATGCCAGTTTCTGTGTTCTTCTCATTGATACTTTTCTAGTAACAGAGCATAGTAAATGGGGAGTTTCGTTTCCTAAACAGCTTTGTGTTTTCATCTTATAATGAATATGTAGTTGTCTTCTCAGATCATGAATCTTTAAAATTTTCTATGTAAACTGATTTTAATACACACATTTCTTTCAACTCCTTCTTATAGATAGCTTTTATTGATCACTTGTCATGGCAGCAGGAGGTGGTCCCTTTGAAGAAGGCATGAATGATCAAGATTTGCCCAGCTGGAGCAATGAGAGCCTTGACGACCGGCTGAACAACACGGTAAAATTCTTCTTTTTGTTGCCATTTGATGCTGTACATTAGAATTACCAGCTAGATTCTGTTAGTGGCAGGTAACAGTGCAAACCCCTCAGCCTTGTCATGCATGGCCTTGCATCCAGTGCAGCTTCACCTGGAAAACCTGAGGTAATGTAAGCAAGCAATGGGTATAATTCATAGATTGTGGGGTCTGAGAGGTATTTATGGCAAGTGTTTTGGGTAAATAAAGTAGCTAGACACGAAAGCATTGTAGGTGACATGAAAGTGAAAGCTATAATTTAAAACGTTCTGAACTCCTGAAAGTAAAAGAGTCCCCAGCAAACAAGAAAAATACAACTTGAGCTTCTTTTGAAGTTAATTTAATGCATTTAGGATGAAATGGATTTTAAATTTCCTGACAAGCTATTTTTAATTATGCAGTGGAGAAAATTTTATTTTGTAAGGTGACATTTCCTCTAGAAAACTTAGAGCTTATTTCAATGTGGCTTGCTATTTTTACTTCTAAAATGGAAGTAAACTCTCTCACAGAATGCAAACATTTGCTTTTAGTCTGTGTGGAAAACAAATATGATTTTTTTTCTCTCTCCTTCCCCTTAAGGACTGGGGAGGTCAACAGAAAAAAGCAAACAGGTCTTCAGAGAAAAACAAGAAAAAGCTTAGCGGGGAAGGGGAAACAAGACTTACTAATGACATATCTCCAGAATCTTCACCTGGAATGGAACGACGGAAGACCAGAACTTCTCATAGCTTTCCTCATGCTCGATACATGACTCAGATGTCTGTTCCAGAGCAGGCTGAGTTAGAAAGGCTTAAACAAAGAATAAACTTCAGTGATCTGGATCAGGTTTGTGTGA